ATCGAAAGAAACCCAAAGTATTTCTTCTCCTATGCCAAATCAAAATCGAGAACAACGTCCAGTATTGGGCCCCTACTTAAACAAGATGGGTCCTACACAGATGACAGCAAGGAAATGAGTGAGCTACTCAAGTCCCAATATGACTCAGTTTTTAGCAAGCCGCTAACCAGACTGAGAGTCGAAGATCAAAATGAATTTTTATGAGAGAGCCACAAAATTTGATTAACACAAGCCTATCCGATGTTATCCTGACGCCAAATGACTTCGAACAGGCGATAAATGACATGCCCATGCACTCTGCCCCAGGGCCAGACTCATGGAACTCTGTGTTCATCAAGAACTGCAAGAAGCCCTATCACGAGCCTTTTCCATCCTATGGAGAGGGAGCATGGACACGGGGGTCGTCCCACAGTTACTAAAAACAACAGACATAGCCCCACTCCACAAAGGGGGCAGTAAAGCAACAGCAAAGAACTACAGATCAATAGCACTAACATCCCATATCATAAAAATCTTTGAAAGGGTCCTAAGAAGCAAGATCACCACCCATCTAGAAACCCATCAGTTACACAACCCAGGGCACATGGGTTTAGAACAGGTCGCTCCTGTCTGTCTCAACTATTGGATCACTACGACAAGGTCCTAAATGCACTAGAAGACAAAAAGAATGCAGATGTAATTATATAGACTTTGAAAAAACCCTTCGACAAGTTGACCAGGGCGAAAATAGCGCACAAAATGCGTGCAAAAGGAATAAAGGAAAAGTCGGTCGATGGATCTATATTTCCCTCACTAACAAAAACCCAGAGAGTAGTCGTAAAACGAGAAAAGTCCGGGGCATACGGTGAAAAAGCTCTTTTCCAAAAGGACAGACTCGCTCCCATCTTTTTCCCCTTCCTCATATCCGAAAGACAAGGAGTCACCACACACCGTGTTTTCCCTTTTGCAGATGCACCCGAACTGCCCTGCATGTCCCTTCCCTTGCAGACACTGCAAAGCCCAGGCGGGCATCAACCAAATTTTTTCAGGGTGCAGAAAACAAATTTTGAAGTTCAACGATGAGAAATTTCAAATTACTCAGATAGAAAAAGAGGAAAAAATCTTCATAGATACAAAACAAAATTTTGGGGCCAAAAAATAGAGCGAAAACACCAAAGTCCCAAAAACCTTGGGAGTGATCATGCGGAGGATCTCACCTTAAGGCCATAACATTTTATCAAACGCATCTGCTAGAAAAATGACAGGAGGGGTAATGGAACCTTCAAAAAAATAGGGAGGCCAAGCCCCTGATGCACTCTTCAGGGCACTTGTTCTATCTGGCTGGAAAATTGTGACACTTAAAGCACCTTTAAGGCAGGTGAAATTGCCAACTGAAAATGTACAAGAACTTTCCGGCGCGATAAAGGGGAAAAAAAACCCCAATTTTGGGGGCCTTTAGGTTCCAACCGTATTCCCCGGAACGCAGGAGGGAGAGATAAATTATATACACCCGAAAAACCTAGAGGGATGTACCGAAAATTTCACACGAAAATCACTCCTAAAAGCAAAAAAACTTGGCAGACGATGCACCTTCCCCCAATGAAAAGCGGGGGGTCACTGCCGTTAAGGACCATACAATAAATTCAGGGGCCCCCAGACTGTTCAAATGCCCCCACAACATAAGGGGGGGTTTCAACAGACCCCCGGGGTCTTCCGGCCTGGACAAACACCTAAAGCAAATTCCGGGTCGCCGGGCTGTGGCTCGTACGTTGGTTTTGGGGCGCCCGCAGAACAGCCTGGGGACAGCTTGATCCCCCAGGAGGCTGGTCACAGACCGGGCCCCGGGGGCGTTTAAAGGGTTTTTGCATTTGTTTTTTGGAGGGTAGGTGGGGAGGGTGCGAGAAATGATGTATTTCCCAGCTGATACAGGTCATGTATTCCAAATATTTTTGTGTATGGCTGTTATATGAAGCCATCTTGATTCACTTATCCCCAACTTTAGTCTTATTATCCCATACAACCCTTTCTCAAACCCCAAAAAAGGGGTCTTGTGCTGGCCATCATACGAGGTGGTAATTCCCAATAACAGAAACTTCAGCTCTTCTGGAACGAAACCTTTGAGGCCTCTTTAGCGAGAATCCTTAGGAAGACTCAGCTCTTCTGGAAGAAACCTTTAGAGGCTCCTGCAGTGACGAATCCAGAAAACTTCAGCCTCTTCTGGAAACGAACCTTTGAGGCTCCTGTAGCAGGAAGGAACCAGAAACTACCAGCTCTTCAGGGAACGAAACCTTTGAGGCTCCTGCAGCTGACGAATCCAGAAACTCCAGCTCTTCTGGAACGAAACCTTTGAGGCTCCTGCAGCTGACGAATCCAGAAACTCCAGCTCTTCTGGAACGAAACCTTTGAGGCTCCTGCAGCTGACGAATCCAGAAGCTTCAGCTCTTCTGGAACGAAACCTTTGAGGCTCCTGTAGCGGACAAATCCAGAAAAAACTCTCCAGCTCGTACTGGAACGAAACCTTGAGGCTCCTGCTAGCTGATCGAATCCAGAACACTCCAGCTCTTTGGAAAGAAACTATGAGGCTCCTTTAGCGGGAGAATCCAGCAAACTCCATCTTCTTCTGGAACGAAACCTTTGAGGCTCCTGCAGGTGACAGAATCAGAAACTCCCAGCTCTTCTGGATTACGCAAACCTATGAGGTTCTTTAGCGGAGAATCCAGAAAACTCCGCTCTTCTGGAACGAACCTTTGACGGCTCACTGCAGCTGACGATTCAGAAACTCCAGCTCTTCTGGAACGAAACCTTTGAGGCTCCTGCAGCTGACGAATCCAGAAACTCCAGCTCTTCTGGAACGAAACCTTTGAGGCTCCTGCAGCTGACGAATCCAGATGCTTCAGCTCTTCTGGACGAAACTTTGTGGCTCTGTAGCGGGGAGCTAATCCTGAAACTCCAGCTCTTCTGGAACAGAAAACCTTTGAGGCTCATGCAGCTGACGAATCCAGAAACTCAGTCTCTTGGAAACGAAACCTATGAGGCTCCTTTAGCGGACGAATCCAGAAACTCCAGCTCTTCTGGAACGAAACCTTTGAGGCTTCTTTAGCGGACGAATCCAGAAACTCCAGCTCTTCTGGAACGAAACCTTTGAGGCTCCTGTAGCTGACAAATCATTAGTGGAATCCTTGACTATATCCTCGTTGTCCTAATGAACTCTCCCAGCTCAGACAGAGCTCTCAGCAAAATTGATAAAATACTTTTCTCGTGATGCGTGATTGAATATAACAGGGGAGAAAATATTTTGTCTTTGTTCCTATTATATAACCGTCATATAACGAAGTGGCAGCACATTGTCAATATATCCAATTTTCCTAAATAAAAACTAAAACTTCCACGGGGTTGGCAGGGATAACAAACTTGTTGACGATTCGGTATAAATAATAAAAAGGGCACAAATACCGTTGACTGGAACGATACACAATAAGCCCGCACATGAAGAGAGGAGCTTACACACGTTTCGGATCGATTAAGCTCCTCTTTTCTATGTGCAAGTTTGTAGATGATGGTTCAGAGAAACCGACATGGTGGATAAATTAGACACATGTTTGCCAACTCATGGGTTATCTTTATTGAGGAAACGTTTCGTAAGAACCACACTACTCAAGAGTGATGGACTGAACACATCGACTCAAGGTTGAGGGACTGATTACCTCATTCTCCTCCTGTTCTTCAAGTTTCTCCTATGTATGGACTGATGAAGCCACTGTGTGGCGAAACGTTTCCTCAATAAAGATACCCAAGAGTTGCACATGTGTCTAATTTATCAATATGTGCAGGTTATTTGTGTATGACTTCCGCTAGGTTCATTTAGCTTCATTAAAGGATTCTCACCATGGCTGTTTACAAGTTGTTGTTTTGGGGGCTTCTAGCACCGTCACACCAACTTGAGGGAAAAAAAAAGTCACAGGAAACAAAGTTACGTAAAATACTTATGGCTAACCCCTAACTGTTTCAAATCATACCCAGCTTTACAGTCCAACTTAATATCGTATAACTTAATAAAACCTGATCCTTTATTCCTAAGGCTACACTAATCTAAGTAAACCTTGCGCAGTATAGTATAGCATGACATAAGTAAATGTATTATTCCCTAATCTACGACAATGTTGTAATATTTATCAGATAGACGCTAAAATATCTACAGCAGAAAGTATTTAGTCTATTTAAGAACGCGACTATTTCCTGTGTGTTTTTTTTTTTCTAACAAAAAAAATATGCCCTTTCTCAGGATTTTTTTATATTCTTTTTTATCGACAGACCTAGTTCAACCGCATTATCCGGCTACACTGAAGTGTCTTCATCATTGTTGTTATAGTGGAAGATGAGAGGGACAGTTACTCGGGTGTTTGAATGTGCATTAAATTTTATTATAATCCATGGGGGAGCGTTTAAACCCTTAGGATTATACAGCGCATTGTGGGGGGGGGATGGAGGTATTCAGACTCAATTCAGTGGAACGGGAGCACAGATTCCCAATTCCTTAGATCAAGGAGCTCTACCAAGCTTCAAGGAACCTCCCTTGAGGGTTGAAATAGCTGTAATTTTTTTGAACGAAAGTGATGGTGTTTTGCTTTGTAAAGCTGAACCCTCATGGGAAAGTTGAGCTATAGCTCCAGTACTCTTTCAGGGAGTTTGACTGAAGTCCTCAGCACTCTTGTGGGTTTGGATGATGTTCTAATATGGTCTTGCGTGAGTTGAGGTACAGGGGAGGCTGGGATTTTTGGATGGGGGTGGGGGGGAAGTAGGGTTTCAGAAATACATACTAGTTAATTACAGAATGAGTAAGTTTTTTTTTTTTTTTGTTAAAGATCAGGTAACGCATGGCATTTTGGGTAAGTCTAAGTTAATTATATTAATTACAATGTTCCATTTGTGGAAAATCTGTGGAGCCTCAAAAACAGAACATTGAGCCGAGAGTTGTGTGACATAGAAGTGGCGAAGTAGCGATAAAAGGTTGATAAGATAGATGCTTATTAAGTCGTTAGGCTCCTCTGTGTTATACAACATTACTGGCAGATGAGTGGTAGAGACGACGAACCAACGAGTCAGATCACACAGTTTCTCACTCGCCTGCTTCAAGATACCATCGTGTACGCACAAATCTGAAAAAAGTAAGAGTTAAAAATATATATTTCTAGCATGTATTAATTTTTTTTGTGCCAAGTGATTGCCGATTTCAACTAACCATACACTAAGTAACCACCTGTTAACTGTACAATTGTAATACATTCTGTATAAACAGATCCTCGTGCTTTCTTCTCTGCCCCAAAAAACAGTGTACGCTAATGTGTTTAAAGTACTGATAAAGCATATCTGGTAAATATATTTGATATATACTTCCTAGTACCTCTACCTAGATTGATAACTAGATTAAAAATTTTAGATCAAGGGTTAAAAGCTGCATTGTACATTTACTGATCATAATTGTAAAGAAATTGGTATATTATCCTTAGCAAAGAACATGAAAGTGCAATCGTAATGTGGATGTCCAAGTTGCGTTTATATGTTGTCGTTAGTATACAATAAGCATTGACGCTTATTTAATGAACCGTTGTTGTCTAGTGTGTAGGCAAGAGTTAGGTTAGGTTAGGTAAGGTTCGTCAGGAAACAAGCCAAGTGTTTCCTGATGCGGGTTTTAGTCACATGATGACCCTCCATTGGAGCTTTTTGTCATTTGACCAAGGCTTTCTGCTGGCTTACCGGTTCACCCCTTTAAATATTTTGGTTTTTAGTTATAACCATCTGTTTATTAAAAAATGGGACGGGTTTCATTAGCTTGTGTGTAAACCCCTGCTGTGTGAGGGAGAATGACAGATAAACCCATAATATGTTATGAAGCATAACATGTCAAACTGTGTGACGGAGTATAACATAAACGAAACTGTGTGACGGGGTTTAACAGATAACCCCCAAATGTGTGATGAAATATGACATAAACCATTCTTTGTGATAGATATTTTAGTTACATAGCTTTTCTTCTAACCTTGTTAAATCTTGAAGGTCAGGGTAACCACACAGTGAGGTGAGTGCCTCTGAACTGAGTGGGAGATTAGACGTCCAGAGGTCGTAAATGTGAAGCTGAGACCTCTGCAACACGATTGTCCTCAAAGATTTGTTAAGTTATACCATGAATTAAGGAAAGATCCTTACGAAACAGACAGAGAAAATGCATTAGTAATTATGGACAAGGTAGATTATAGTGGAAAAATGACCATGTTATTAGAAGACAAAGGAACTTACGTGCCCCTTATGATTACTTGGAGGCTTGTTCCACACCTTTAAAACTCTACTGCTAAATTCATTACTTTCCTATATCCCATCTTAATCTAAATTTCTCTATCTTGAACCTGTGCTGCGAGTCCTGTCGTGGTTGGATATTTTCACTACATTATTTATATCCCCTTTATTCATTCCTGTCTTCCAGTTGTACACTTCAGTCATAGCCTCTCAAGTCTAAGTTTTCTCAGAGAGAGCAAATTCAGCGTCTTCAGCTTATCTTCGCCAGACAGATTTTTGATACAGGTATTCAGTTTCTTCGTCCTTATCTGTATAATTCACGAAATCATAATGACACGATTGCAAACAAACCACGGTACGGGTGGGGATTGAACTCACGGCAAGTGAGTTGTAAAACTCCAGACCAGCGCGTAAGCCACTAAGCCAGCTGGCTACAATAAGATTCATCCAACAGTGGGACCCATGCTAACCTCCCTATGGTGTATAACTATGCCTAGTTGAATAAATCTTATTGCAGCCAGCTGGCCCAGTGACTTACACGCTGGCCTGGAGTTTTACGACACACTTGCCACGAGTTCAATCTCCACCCATAACGTGATTTCCTTCTCTATATTTTCCAGCGCATTTATTTCCATTCTGTAATATGGGGACCATAAATGAATAGCATAATCCAAAAGAGTATTTACCAATGACACAATGTTGAAATCCAAACTAGGGACTTCTGTTATTTACACTTCTTGATGTGAAGCCAAGAATTATATTAGCTTAATAAAGAATCCACGCCAGTGCTATTAGTTAAGTAAATAACGGAAGGTATTTACATACAAAATTGACTGAGTGTTTTAGATGTAATGTGTTGTTGATGATGCAACAATCCCACGACTTTGTTACTGTGATAAGTGAATTGTTATTGTGCTCGATCTCTGGCGCTGACCTTGGTTTTGGCTTACATCAAATATTAAGATAAGATATGAGAAATCGTTATTCAGGTTGAATATACATGATTTTATAATAAACTGATTAAATTTATACAATGATTCCAATAGACACATAATACTTATAGGCATACATTGTTGATGAATTAAACATAATTAACCCAGGACAACCCAGCAAGGTCAACACTGATTTATGGACAAGGTAGATTATATAGGAAAAATTAACAAGCGATATCACTACATAACTAACTCTGAATATAATTATGAACTGATTAGCCTATGGTAGGCCTACTGCAACCGGAAGCACCCTGGATGAGGCGAGGCATCACATAAGCTTCATTTAAGAAGTCTACAAATAGTTATATACAAAGTAAATAAATTTGTATAGCCTTTCTAGGGTACATAGATATTGTAGACATGTGTATATAGTCCTTTATGTATATTTAACCTAAGATATTCTAACCCAAGATAACCAGAAGAAAGTTTAACGACGGGAATTTGGTATACGGGGGATACCGTTCAGGGATGACTGAGGTAGATGAGAATACTTTTCTTGGATAATTGAGGTACGGAGGGATAGATTACGAAATGCGGAGGATACCTTTCTTGGATAATTGAGCAGAGGAGCTGGGGTTCTAGGATACCTTTCTAGGATAATTAAGCAGAGGAGCTGGGGTTCTAGGATACCTTTCTAGGATAATTGAGCAAGGAGCTGGGGTTCTAGGATACCTTTCTAGGATAATTGAGCAGAGGAGCTGGGGTTCTAGGATACCTTTCTAGGATAATTAAGCAGAGGAGCTGGGGTTCTAGGATACCTTTCTAGGATAATTGAGCAGAGGAGCTGGGGTTCTAGGATACCTTTCTAGGATAATTAAGCAGAGGAGCTGGGGTTCTAGGATACCTTTCTAGGATAATTAAGCAGAGGAGCTGGGGTTCTAGGATACCTTTCTAGGATAGGGCAGACAATGTAACAAGCTTAGTTTATCAAGTTTTCTATACTGCGTTAAGTTTTTTTATATACCAATTTGCATTGCCCTAACTAGAAGAATGTAACCATACCTAATTTAACCTAACATAAACTAAAGAAGCATTAAACTAAAGTAACATTAACAAAAACTAAACATATGTAACATTAAACTAACGTAACATTGCTCTGCACTAACGTAACCTAAAGTAACACTATACAATGTACACAAAGAATAAACAGATACAGTGACGTGACTGGAACAGTACAGAAACAACCCGTACATAGATGAGAGAAACTTAGACGACATTTCGGGCCGAAACGTCGTAATAAGCTTCTATGCGCTGGTTATTTGTTTATTATAATGTACATAAGGAAGTCCGTTGATGAGCAGAACGTCAAGAAACTAATAATTTGCTTAAAATACTGAATGATTATAATAAGAAACTAATTTTTAAAGGAGTGGACCGGTAAGCCAGCGGAAGGCCTCAGTCAGATGATCAAAAACTCCAGCTGTGGGTCATCATCTAAGACCCGCGTCAGGAAACACTTGTCCTGTTTCCTTGACGATCCTTACCTAACCTAACCTGTACTTAAAATGCAGATGTTGATTTTCAGTTGTTGGAAAGATCTGGACAGGTTAATTGGTAACAGATGGCGCTGAGGTACGTCAGGAATTTGTTAATACCTCAGATAGCTTATAGAACTCACAAGTCAGTATATATTTATCTTTCAACCCATTAAAACGTAAATAAAGAATATTTACCTTGATGGGCATCAGTTAGTTTATCAAGCTGATAATCTCTTACGGTTGAAAAAATACTAACAATCACTGAGATGCTATATCATAGTAAGTTTTAATATTTTCTTTAAAATTGATAAGATTAATTGCTGCTAATTATACCCTTTCACATTCAAACACGCACACTGAGACACACAGAGTAAGAGTAAGGGATGAGACATCAGAATGGGAGTGTCGAGTGGGGTTCTACAAGGTTCTTTGTTAGGTTCACTACTGCTAATAGTATTCGTGAATGACCTATCAGAGGGGATTGAGTCCTATGTGTCTTCTCTTAATGAGAAGAATAAGAAGAGGAGAAAGCAGTGATAAACTCCAGTGAAACCTAAACAGAATGCAGAACCAAGGAAGACATTTTAGCCAAATATAAAATATTCTGGGAAATTGGAAGGGTAGACAAGACTAGACTGTTTCAGAGGCGAGCAACAGGTACACTAGGGTACAGTTGGATTTATAATTATATTAATACAAATGATACTCAGTATAGGGATGAATAAATTTAACAATTGGAAGTTGAAAACACAAATGCCATAGGGATGTCAGGAATTACTTTTTGAACCTCAGGATGGTCAGGAAGACAAATGACCTGGACAACGAAGTGGTGGAGGCTAGCTCCATACATAGTTTTAAGAGCAGGTATGCTAGGGCCAGCGAGATTAGGAGGGAGTGAATCTGACAAGCGGTAAGTTGAGAGGCAGGGTCAGGAGCTGAGACAGTACACCTGGAACCATATAGATAAGTACATACAGGCAAGTATACACACGCTGAGAGGCGATACCACACAACTTGGTGATACACGTACTCCTTTCTCTTTCTCTCTAGGTCAGATTCACATACGTTACACAAACTCAGATAAAGAAAGAGAAAGAGAGAGATAGAGAGAAAGATTACATAATGAAAAGTAAGAGATTTTTCCATGTATTTCTTACAGTGTCGGAGGAAGCAAGTGTTCAGGAACGTCAACAGGTGACCGACGAGGTCATCCAGGAGGCCCTGAGGGCCGACAAGGGTCCAGACGCTAGTCTGGTGTCTTGGAAGTTCGAGGACTTCACCATGAAGGGCGACAACTACACATGTCTGGTGACTTGCTTGGTGGTGCAGTACACCCTGGGAGGTAAGCTCGAGGAAGCTACCTACGTGGCCAAGATGAGGAGGAACATAGCCATGGATACCTTTGCTAGCGTGATCCAAAAACTCGTGAAATGGGAAGGAACCTGTCTTGCCGAAATTGTGCCTTGTATGAACAAGATACTGAAAGAGCTTGGCCATCGGGGCATTGGGTAAGTAAACAAACCATACCACGGGTGGGGTTTGAACCCGCGGTCGGAGAGTCTCAAAACTCCAGACTCTCTGACCGCGGGTTCAAATCCCACCCGTGGTATGGTTTGTTTGCAATCGTGTCATTACAATTTCGTGAGTCATTGGGTAAGTAGATGGTGCAAAGCAACGCCTTTTTTTTCATATTGATGAAATTAGTCATAAAATCAAATAAAGGAGATTAATGAACTCTCAATATGTGAAAAAAAAGGACGTTATTGTTCCCAGAGACTCTCAGATTAGGTATATGGATCGAACATTGTATAAGAAGGTTAAGAAAACAAGGCAAAGGTGTTTCCCCTAGATCATGTCATGTATAGGTGATGTGATCAGCAGATTAAATAACATTATGTCAGCCAAAGAAAGTGACCCCATTATCTGCCTCAGTGCTGGAGTTAATGATGTTGGGAAATACAGGAGAGAAAAGCTGCAGTTATTGATCTAAGCCAAAAGGAAAGGATCCCGATCAAATGTAGCATTTTGCCTGGAAGAGAAGTGGGCAATAAATGGATGTCTAGCTCAACTGGTATAAATTGCTGGCTAGGCAAATGCTGCAGGGAACTTCGAATTTCATTCAGTAACAACTAAGATCATTTATATGACAAACATGATCTGGATGCAAGGGATGGGGTACATCTTTCTGGGGCATGAGTGATACCCATGGTATGTGTGGGTAACATCGGGGTTACAATTCTAGGGTCGGAGGGAGAAAGAATTGCCAAGATGTGTTAGGAAAACGTTCAAAAAACAAGAGATCTCATAAAATAATTACTAATTATAAAATGAAATTAGTTTACTGAAACACTGAAGAAAGGAAATGCAATATATATATATATATATATATATATATATATATATATATATATATATATATATATATATATATATATATATATATATATATATATATATATGCAAAACAACCACTCTGAAAGAATAGAGAAATTCCAAGCGCTTTCGTGACTACTCACATTATCAAGGAACTATGAAAGTAAAGCATCCAAGGAAGCTATATAAGGGTCTGGCCAACACCTCACTATCAGATCCCACAACGGTTAAACACCTGACGCGCGCCGACCCAACTTGGATAGGTCCTTTGCACAACTCACCAACAAACTATTCTACCCAAGAAAATTTAAAATTATTATTTATCCAGTGTATTATTAAATTCTTCCCAAATTCTATTAATTATAAATGGATCTAATTTATATAAACCAAAGGAAATATTCATATTATTGTCAAAACAGCTTTTATGAAACAAGATTCAATTATATTCCTGTCGACCATGGACTTGCTTGATACTACTTTCTCAACTTTTTGAAAATCAATTGGATGGTTAAAATCTCTTACACGAATAAATAGAGCATTGAATCTTGTCCAGTTCTAATGCTATATTTATGTTGTTTTTAATCTTAGTTCGAGATTTTTACCAGTTTGACCGTAATAAACTTTATCGCAAATTTACAAGGAATCTTATAGACACATCCATATATATATATATATATATATAATATATATATATATATATATATATATAATATATATATATATATATATATATTTATATATTAAGCATCTACTATACAAACAGCCAGATAGAAAAAAATTAAATAGACACAGCAAGACTAATTGCATGTACAGGAGCCGTTGATATTATTGCAATGACCGAGACCTGGTTCAATCTGAAAAATACGGACATGCCCGGTGGCCTGGTGGCTAAAAGCTCCCGCTTCACACACGGAGGGCCCGGGTTCGATTCCTGGCGGGTGGAAACATTTCGACACGTTTCCTTACACCTGTTGTCCTGTTCACCTAGCAGCAAATAGGTACCTGGGTGTTAGTCGACTGGTGTGGGTCGCATCCTGGGGGACAAGATTAAGGACCCCAATGGAAATAAGTTAGACAGTCCTCGATGACGCACTGACTTTCTTGGGTTATCCTGGGTGGCTAACCCTCCGGTGTTAAAAATCCGAACGAAATCTTATCTTATCTTATATATATACAGGGTGAAGAATTAGACACAAGTGAACGATTGAATATCGTCATTATGTAGACATTTCCTCAACCAGTGGCTTTAGCAATACAATACCGGGACAAAAACTGAAGAGGTAGAAGATGAGGTAATTGTTATTGTATACTATATTAAACTGAATGAAATACACACCAAAACAACTCTTCCGTGGAGAGACATTTACAGGCGAATCAAAAGAGGAGAGAGTCTCAATACTGACCAACGTATTCAACTTAAGAGAAAGAAAATATGAAATTAAGTTTAGAAGAAAATCAAATATCAATCCATAGGGTTTCTGTTAGGTATATAGGAAAAAGATCAGAGAAAAAGATAAGCCCAGTTAAGTGTAACTTAGGGCAACATACTTTTAGTGGCATAGAAGTGTGTATCATTTTAAACGCTTATTTTTTTTTATTTTAACACATCATGATATAAACGAAATACTAGAAAACAATTATAATAAAGATGAGAAGAAAAAATGCAAGATCAAAGTCATTGGTGACATGGTCCTCCAACAGCTAGGTAAATTGAAATCAAACAAGTCACTAGACCCTGACAAGGTGTTTTCAAGAGTTCTAAATTACCATACCAGATAAGTGGAAAATGGCAGTTATGATGCCCATTTACAAGGCAGGAGATAGGTCATTAGCTTCAAATTATGGACCAGTCAGCCTAATCTCAGTTGTGGTAAAGTTGATGGAATCAGTTATTGTATGTAGATGCAGTTAGAAGCCACCTTGAAAAATAAAAGTTGATAAATGAATCTCAGCACATTGTTATAAAGGGGCATTCTTACCTCAGATGGTAGGCTACGATTTTTTTTTTTTTTTGAGGTATCCCGTAGTTCGATTGCTAGAGCACTCATTTCACACACTAAAGTCCATGGTTTGATTCTCGGTATGGGTGGAAACAGAACATGTTTCCTCAAGACACCTGCTGTCCCTGTTCACCTATCAGTAAAATGGAGACCTGGGTGTTAATCGACTGGTGTGGGTCGCATCCTGGGACAAATTTGACCTATATTTGCCCGAAATGCTCTGCATAATAAGGGATTTTCTATAGAGTAGCGTCATTGCTGCTAGCTAGGCCTGTATATATTGTACATATACTAGTAGAAATAAAAGATTATTATTATTATTATTATTATTATTATTATTATTATTATTATTATTATTATTATTATTATTATTATTAACTAATCTTTGTCAGTAAGGAATTGGAAGTGGTAAACCAAATTGTATATATATGGAATTCAGTTCCACTCAGGAAACTGATGAATAAAACAGTGATACTTGGTACAGAAGAAATTATCTCCTGGGACGAGGACACACTGCCAATAGATAGGCAACAGTTTTAGTAAATGGGGAGAAATGTAATTGGGGACCCATTAGTGGTGTGCTACAGGTGTCAGTATTAAGACCTAGTGTTATTCACACTCTACATGAATGACATAGATGAGGGAATAAATAACGGCGTGGCAGGGAAGGAACAGACACAAAATTCTCGAATATTACGTTACGACAAAGTGCGCCCGAAATCAACAATTCTTAAAAAAAAAAAAAAAGTTGACATAAATGTATTTCACAATTAAAAAAAAAAAACTGTGAAAATGTGACACGCAGTATACATATACCGAGAAGTGTATGCTTGCAGATGGTACTGAAAGAAAAAAAAAACTAAAGGACCTGTGGAAATTTATTCCACGAAATGTTTTCTAGTGTAAGCATAAGGAACCCTTAACATAACCACTACATAACACTTGTATATAATATTTGACAATTTAGACAGATTTTAGTTATACAGAGTATATAATAAACTCAGGAGGTAATTACATCGATTTAGGCCTAAAATATGTAGGAATAGGACTAATATAGTAGTATTAGTTATAGCTAGTGTTTCAAATTCGAATAAAGACAGTTAAGACAAGCTAGCCAGTTCAGTTGCTATCCAGACTCCATCGAGGACAGTTATGTCACGTGATTACTGCCAAAAACACCGGCAGAAGTAACATTTGGCTGGGGAACGAAATAACCCTGAGCGGTTTCCCAAAGTATAGGATACACATCCATATCAGGCACACCCGCAGTGAATATCTACAATTCCTAGTGTTAGTCGGCCGGCGTTCCAGTAGGTATTATTATTATAATAAAAAAGAAGCGCTAAACCACAAGGGCTCCACAGCGCTGCGTTCCAGTAGGTAGTATCCTGTAGGGGATTCGAAGATTGAAAGTCCGTCTCTCCGAGGTGCCCTGGGGTCAGGGAACATCATACTCCAAGCTACCAACTAAGTTAACTATGTCGTCACGTCACAGCAGCTGTAATTGGGAATTCAGTTGCAAGAGATATACAGTATATGAGCCTGGAAGAACCTTCTTCTTATGACCAGAGCTTTGGTAAGATGGGTAAGGAAGAAGGATGGGTAAGGATGGAAATATTGGAAAAGGGTGGGAGGGGGGAGAGAGGTAGGATATAAAAGGTAAGTGGCTCAACCACTTTGGTGTAGTTTAAAAAGTGTATGTGAAATGATAAGATATTCTTTAAGGGGTATAATACTATCCCATCAGATTCACATAGATATAACAGATATATAAGTACATGACTCTGAATTGGTAGTAATTATACAAGTTGCAATTGCTTCTTTTTTTTTTTGCGATTGCACAACGGATATTTATGCGACAATAAAGGCAATAATTTTCTGGCCAGTTTATAGAATTATGTGACAATGGCTTCTTACAGGTGGTGTCCAGCCATGGTAAATAGCATAATTTTTACATTAGATTGTTATATAAGATGTCTCCCTAATTGGGGGCGATGATTTTCTCAGTATACATAGAAGGGTTCTGGTGCTACCCAATCTTCTTCATCAGGGAGGTTGCTCAATATCATGGGTCGATGGTAATCATCTTTATGTATAAAACGACGGACCCTCTGAGGGAGAGTCATTCTTTGAGTCCTGTGAGGAGGAGTATTGATGATATAATCCGTGGTATTTACCACTTGTATAGGATGTTCTCTATCTGGCATGTATAGTTCTTGCATTGTATAGAGTTGTTTCTTTTTTAGAGTGTCGAGGCGTACATTTATGGCAGTAATATCTTGTTGTATGTGTAAATCTGCCATTTTAACTCTGTCTCTCCTCCCGGTATCGGTAATGAAGCGAAGAGCTCTATTCTGGACCCTTTGTAACCGTAGCATGTTGGTCTTTGTTGTTAATGACATTGGGACACAAGGGTATTCGAGTATTGGTCTTATTATCATTTTATACAGATGTTTTTTGACATGTTGAGGGGCTTGATAGAATCGAAAGAGACTGCTAAGACCGGCTTTGGCTATGTTGATCTTTTTAGTTACATGAGATGTTGAGTGGAGCAGCCTGTCTATTTCATATCCCAAGATCTTGTTAGGGTTTCTAATGGCTACAGGTGTACCTCTGATGGAGATACCCCATTTATCTTCAATTGTTGATGCAAAACATCCTATCGTGCTAACAAGGACCTTGTCAGGATTAGTCGTAATTCTCCATTTCTTTTCCCAATTAGATGTTCGAAGTTCAATATTCATTTTTTCTATGACTCTCTCATACTTGTATTTTCCTGTAACCGGAGTTGATGAGACAACATGAATAACATCATCTGCAAACTGTGTCACAATTGTATCATTAAACTCTGGTTGATCAAGGTCATTCACATAAATGTTGAATAGAATTGGACTTAGACAAGAACCTTGTGGGACACCAGCTGTCGGTATAAAAGGCTCTGCCAACCTGCCATAAAAGGCACCTGGAAGAACCAACCTGGTGCATCTGCGTCAGCAGCGCTGGCTGAGCTTGTCGCTCACCTAGAGGCAGTTCGCACAGAAATCCCCGAAGGACTCCAGAGGAATTAATTAAGCCACATTGATTGGTTTACTTGGGTTACCCTGGGTTACTAACCCTCAGGGTTGGTAATAATGTGAATGAAGTATATTCTTCATCCCCTCAACAAATCTTTAATTGATTGAGGCTAATATATAATCATTGACTGCCCCTTCAACATTATCAGTATTATTTTTATTATTATTATTATCAGTATTATCAATATTATTGTCATTATTATGGTAATAATGTAGAATTGCCGACAATGTGTTAGGTAAAAGGACACGTACAGCTAATGAGACATTTTATTGTGACGTTTCGCTCTGCAGGAGCTTTGTCAACGGCTTGACAAAGCTCCTGCAGAGCGAAACGTTGCCACAGTAAAATGTCGCATTAGTTGCACGTGTGTCCTTTTACCTAACATTATTATTATTATTATTATTATTATTATTATTGATTATTATTTTATTTTATTATTATTATTTTGTTATTATTGCTGCATTCGTGTGTCATTCATTCTGACCTTCAATAGAACTGCCAAGGCTTACCACTGTGTTTACGAGAAGGACAAGGAAGTACTGCTTCTGGAGGACCTGCGTAGCCGAGGCTTCAGGATGTATGACCGTAAGCGTGGCATGGACATTCCCCACGCCCGCCTGGTCCTGCAGGAGCTGGGCAGGCTACATGCTGCCTCCATCCTGCTGGAGAAATCTCTACCCGAGCAAGACATAACCAAAACCTGGAGTATCTTCCAAGATATGTGGGAGAGCACTGGCGATACCAAGAAGATGCTCGATGGCATGACTGCCTCTCAGTTGGAAGGAGCAGCAATGATAATGGAAAAGGTAGGTGCACTAGTTTATTTTAGTGCCCCCCTCCTCCCCCAATAAAGAGAGGAACGCCTTGATACTGGTGAAGGGTTCTTGATTCAAGGAATTGGAGACATCTTATTCTTCCTCTCATCAGACGTGATTACCTTCTCCTTCGTTACTGCTTAAGATGCTTCAAAAAGGACCTTATTGTGGAAAATACTATATATTTTCCGGAAATACGGTAATTTATAGGTAAATAGATGCCCTATATTGTATTTAATAAAAGTGTATTTTTAAAGAACAGACAGTCGCCATTTTGTTTGAATGGAATAACAGGCGTTGTGAGTAATGGGAAGAATTTTTCGTGCTCTAGAGGTTAAATTTGGGCTGACACCTCTCAAATAGGAGGCGAAATTGTTGGATGTGCATTCCTGCATAACTTGAGATATCAGGCGACTGGACAAGACAGCTCCAGGAACCTCAGATAAGTCTGTTATGTTATAACTCTGGCCAGTTGTTATTTTCATGTATAGACAGAGGTTTTCTGAGTATGATACACATTAATCTCCAGTCAAATTGGTGAGTGTTATGATTAAGATATATTCTCCTTCTGTTATATAAATGTGTATTTATATATAATAATTTTTTAATTTAATATATAGTCCACAAATTTATATATTTACCAGCATTCCTGGTGATGTATATTTCATTTAATTAATAGGTCCAGAGCAACTTGTGGATATGACAGTTGTATGTATCGAAGGGGGACATTTTTTGCGACCTAGGTGTCCCAAATTCCTACTTGTCTAACTGATAAATAATAATTATCTATGTTCATTTACTGTTATGTATATAATGATACACCAAGTAAATGCAATTTTCCACACTTATTATCGCCACAGTACTATCACACAATATCCATTCCCCAGGCGTTTTATAACCCATACGGGTTTAGCACTTCCACGTGAATATAATCACTAACAATATAAATTATCTGATTTGATTTTTAAGGTAAGCATTCATATATTGCCACAGCTTTGTTGATGACATTACAGTCACAACTGCGAAATGTATATGGCAATGTACAAGCTCTTTAAGTTTCTTAGAGGCAGGGTGGAAACCAAGGATGCAGCAGACACTTTCCATTTGGATCTCGACACTGAGGTGCTGGAGGAGGAAGGTGGCGGCCTCTGCATCTCGAGTAGTTTCGGTGATCTTAGAACCTAATTTATTGAAGAAACTGCTGTTATATTTTTTTTTCCTCGTGGGCAAAAGGTTTCTGAATTTGTCTGGACGGAGCATCACTGGAAAATCATCTTTTTTTCCCTTGGTGTCTTTTTCTTACTGGGAAAATCACTTTGTTGACCAACAATAATTGGAATATAGACATCAGTCAGTCTGTCGTTTTTAAAGGAATATGTAGGTATTACACAGAGAAAACAAGAACTTAACTCAACGCTCTCGTCTCAGGTCCCTAATTATGAGCATGTGGTGAAATGGATTAATCAAGTCAAGGGCTCTGCAGCGGACGTCTTTATGGAGAATTCTACCTCCGACCCAACCTTTGCTGTCCTCGTCCATGGAGACTGTTGGACCAACAATTTACTTTTCAGGTATCACTAACTCCAAAAACTATAGTAGCATAAGTTCTTTTTAATGCTTATCTTTCCATATGCCAAAAATATGCATAATATTAAAGCAGGTGTAAATAAGTATATACATCCTGATTGTGATTTTTTGTTTCCATAAATATTTGTGCCCATGGAAAAAAAAAATAAGATTCTTAATACTCTCTCCCTGGGTCCCTCTTGAGATGCCCCTGTTATTTGGTGATTAGGTTAATTAAGTAAGGTTTGTCAAGAAACAGGACAAGTGTTTCATGATACTTTCTTTTTATAATGGAGGCCAGCGGATGCTTCACCTAAATACATAATGATACTAATGATTCGGTGGCCTGGTGGCTAAAGCTCCCGCTTCACACACGGAGGGCTCGGGTTCGATTCCCGGCGGGTGGAAACATTTCGACACGTTTCCTTACACCTATTGTCCTGTTCACCTAGCAGCAAATAGGTACCTGGGTGTTAGTCGACTGGTGTGGGTCGCATCCTGGGGGACAAGATTAAGGACCCCAATGGAAATAAGTTAGACAGTCCTCGATGACGCACTGACTTTCTTGGGTTATCCTGGGTGGCTAACCCTCCGGGGTTAAAAATCCGAACGAAATCTTATCTTATCTTAAGTCCAGTTGATTATGATCCTTTGGAACGAGACATTTGTCTTGTTTTCTAAAGAGTATAAAACACCTCCACCGTCAAGGTTTTTTTTTTATGCCTTTCAAAACCTGGATTTTTTCCTGGTCATTTTTAAACTTAGCCTCGTGTCTTTTCACTTAATATTAGAGGAAGGGAAGGCTCTAGAAAAGGCGCAGATACCTGGAGTTTACCTGGAGAGAGTTCCGGGGGTCAACGCCCCCGCGGCCCGGTCTGAGACCAGGCCTCCTGGTGGATCAGAGCCTGATCAACCAGGCTGTTGCTGCTGGCTGCACGCAAACCAACATACGAGCCACAGCCCGGCTGATCCGGAACTGACTTTAGGTGCTTGTCCAGTGCCAGCTTGAAGACTGCCAGGGGTCTGTTGGTAATCCCCCTTATGTGTGCTGGGAGGCAGTTTAACAGTCTCGGGCCCCTGACACTTATTGTATGGTCTCTTAACGTGCTAGTGACACCCCTGCTTTTCATTGGGGGGATGGTGCATCGTCTGCCAAGTCTTTTGCTTTCGTAGTGGGTGATTTTCGTGTGCAAGTTCGGTACTAGTCCCTCTAGGATTTTCCAGGTGTATATAATCATGTATCTCTCCCTCCTGCGATTCCAGGGAATACAGGTTTAGGAACCTCAAGCGCTCCCAATAATTGAGGTGTTTTATCTCCGTTATCCGCGCCGTGAAAGTTCTCTGTACATTTTCTAGGTCGGCAATTTCACCTGCCTTGAAGGTGCTGTTGTTGTGCAGCAATATCCAGCCTAGATAGAACAAGTGACCTGAAGAGTGTCATCATGGGCTTGGCCTCCCTAGTTTTGAAGGTTCTCATTATCCATCCTGTCATTTTTCTAGCAGATGCGATTGATACAATGTTATGGTCCTTGAAGGTGAGATCCTCCGACATGATCACTCCCAGGTCTTTGACGTTGGTGTTTCGCTCTATTTGTGGCCAGAATTTGTTTTGTACTCTGATGAAGATTTAATTTCCTCATGTTACCATATCTGAGTAATTGAAATTTCTCATCGTTGAACTTCATATTGTTTTCTGCAGCCCACTGAAAGATTTGGTTGATGTCTGCCTGGAGCTTTGCAGTGTCTGCAATGGAAGACACTGTCATGCAGATTCGGGGTGTCATCTGCAAAGGAAGACACGGGTGCTGTGGCTGACATCCTTGTCTATGTCGGATATAAGGATGAGGAACAAGATGGGAGCGAGTACTGTGCCTTGTGGAACAGAGCTTTTCACCGTAGCTGCCTCGGACTTTACTCTGTTGACGACTACTCTCTGTGTTCTGTTAGTGAGGAAATTATAGATCCATTCGACCGACTTTTCCTGTTATTCCTTTAGCACGCATTTTGTGCGCTATTACGCCATGGTCACACTTGTCGAAGGCTTTTGCAAAGTCTGTATATATTTACATCTGCATTCTTTTTGTCTTCTAGTGCATTTAGGACCTTGTCGTAGTGGTCCAATAGTTGAGACAGACAGGAGCGACCTGTTCTAAACCCATGTTGCCCTGGGTTGTGTAACTGATGGGTTTCTAGATGCGTGGTGATCTTGCTTCTTAGGACCCTTTCAAAGATTTTTATGATATGGGATGTTAGTGCTATTGGTCTGTAGTTCTTTGCTGTTGCTTTACTGCCCCCTTTGTGGAGGTGGGGCTATGTCTGTTGTTTTTAGTAACTGTGGGACGCCCCCCGTGTCCATGCTCCCTCTCCATAGGATGGAAAAGGCTCGTGATAGGGGCTTTTTGCAGTCTTGATGAACACAGAGTTCCATGAGTCTGGCCCTGGGGCAGAGTGCATGGGCATGTCATTATTCGCCTGTTCGAAGTCATTTGGCGTCAGGATAACATCGGATAGGCTTGTGTTAATCAAATTTTGTGGCTCTCTCATAAAAAAATTCATTTTGATCTTCGACTCTCAGTCTGGTTAGCGGCTTGCTAAAAACTGAGTCATATTGGGACTTGAGTAGCTCACTCATTTCCTTGTTGTCATCTGTGTAGGACCCATCTTGTTTAAGTAGGGGCCCAATACTGGACGTTGTTCTCGATTTTGATTTGGCATAGGAGAAGAAATACTTTGGGTTTCTTTCGATTTCATTTATGGCTTTTAGTTCTTCCCGCGATTCCTGACTCCTAAAGGATTCTTTTAGCTTAAGTTCGATGCTTGCTATTTCTCTGACCAGTGTCTCCCTACGCATTTCAGATATATTGACCTCTTTTAGCCGCTCTGTTATTCTTTTCCGTCGCCTGTAAAGGGAGCGCTCATTATTTTTTTCATTAACACATCGGCCGTTCCCCGCCAAGGAAAGGTGACCCCCCAAAAAAGAAGAAACACTTTCAACATCATTCACTGTCTTGCCAGAGGCGCGCGTACACTCAAGTTAAAAAAAAAAAACTGCAACATATCAACACTCCTCCTTCAGAGCGCACACATTGTACTTCCCACCTCCAGGACTCAAGTCCGGCTAACCGATTTCCCTGAATCCCTTCATAAATGTTACTTTGCTCACACTCCAACAGCACAAGTCATAAAAACCATTTGTCTACACTCGCTCCTATTTAACACGCTCACGCACGCTTGCTGGAAATCCAAGCCCCTCGCACACAAAACCTCCTTTACCCCCCCCCCTCCCTCCAACCTTTTCTAGGTTGACCCTTACCCCGCTTTCCTTCCATTACAGATTTATATGCTCTCCAAGTCATTCTATTTCGTTCCATCCTCTCTAAATATCCAAACCACCTCAACAACCCCTTCCCCCCTCAGCCCTCTGGATAGTTGTTTGGGTAATCCCACACCTCCTAATTTCCAAACTACGAATTCTCTGTATTATATTCACACCACACATTGCCCTCAGACATGACATCTCCACTGCCTCCAGCCTTTTCCTTGTTGCAACATTCATCACCCATGCTTCACACCCATATAAGAGCATTGGTTCCACTATACTCTCATACATTCCCCTCTTTGCTTCCTCAGTGCACCACTCACCATTTTCCCCTCATCAATTCTATGATTCACCTCGTCTTTCTTAGACCCATCTGCTGATGAGTCCACTCCCAAATATCTGCTCATCTCGACTAAATTTTGAAGAAATTTGTCTCTTCCTCGGATATACCTATACCTTATATCTGATGAGCCCGTCCTTGGGCTAGGCTCCTCTGGTGCTAGCCTGGTCAACCAGACTGTTGCTGCTGGTAGTCCACTGACCCACATCGATCACAGCCTGATTATCTCCCGTTCTCCAGGTGTTGGGTAACCCCTACGGGTTTACTGTTCCCATTGAATATAATAGATATATTAGTTTGTGCTGAAACTGGGGGATATACAAAAAAAAATTTACACAGAACATTTATAAACTAATGTTCTTAGGTTCACTTGTATTAATTTTATTTCCCCATTAATGCTACCTGGGTCTACCTGGGGGTATTCCGGGGATCAGCGCCCCCGCGACCCGGTCCACGACCAGGCCTCCCGGTGGATCAGGGCCTGATCAACGAGGCTGTTACTGCTGGCCCCACGCAAACCAACGTAAAGAAACCCGAGCCCGGCTGATCCCGGGACCGTCTTTAGGTATCGTCCAGCTCCCTCTTGAAAACAACCAGGAGTCTTCCCGTTATGCCCCTTATTGGGGTGGTGGGGGCTGTTGAACAGTCTTGGGCCGGGCACTTACTGCGTTTTCTCTTAGTGTACCAGTGACGCCCCTACTTTTCACTGGGGGTAGGTTGCATCGCCCGCCAATACATATTTTCTCCCAAAGTTTAATTGCTAATAATAAGTCACCGTTTTAACAAACTTATAATATTTGTCTATACTACTTCTAGATTCGCCCGGTACTGTCCCGGGCCGGGGCTTTCCCAGATGGTGACCGGGGCCCATATCTGTAATAACACTGTACTCATTTGTGTCTCATATTTTAAATTACCATAGCAACATACATTTTTACTTTTCAATATATAATAATAATAATAATTATTATTATTAATGATGTTATTCTCCCTTTCATTGTGCCTAGTAGTACCAGCACTGTATCTTTTCACTCTTTACCTCAAGCTTTAATCTTTTGAGAAACAACTTAACCTTACCCACAACCTCAAACAGATACAAACGCTGCCGGAGATCCCGTAGAAAGTGATGCTGGTGGGACCTACAAGGCATGCGGTGATGTCCCCCGCCGTCGACCTAACTACTTCTTGTACTCCAGCTTCAACGGCCCTGACCGCTCTCCGAACGTAGAGCTCTTCCTTGGTGTGTATTACACCTCCTTCTGCGAAGTCCTAAGAGCTGCGAACACTCCGGTTCCATTCACCCTTGAAGAGCTGCGTCAGGAGTACCGCCGCAAAATGGAATACGGGTGTATTGCGGGCATGTTCGTAGTACCATCATCTTGAGCGAGGTCGAAGACGCCCGGATTTCGAGGGTATAACGGGACGACAAGATGGAGGAGTTCGCTAAACAGCGGCAGGAAGTCTTATTGAAGATGATCAGCAGAGAAGACGGTCTTCTCAAAACCCAGGTTCCTAGACATGTTTGACGAGATGGTAGAAGCAGGTATTATACCACGCCACAGCAAGGGAGATTCGACTTAATATTCTAATAGCAGTGATGTATGCACAAGATTCTTGTCTTAGTCCAATTCTCTTCAACATTTATGTGAATGACCTTCCTCAACCAGAGTTTAATGATACAATTATAACGCAGTTTGCAGATGATGTTATCCATGTCGTCTCATCAACTCCGGTAACAGGGAAAAAACAAGTATGAGAGAGTCATAGAAGAAATGAATATAGAACTTCGTCGAAAATCTAATTGGGAAAAGAAATGGAGAATTACAACTAACCCTGACAAAGTCCTTGTTAGCACGATAGGATGTTTTGCATCAACCATCGAAGATTAAAGGGGGTATCTCCATGCAGAGGTACACCTGTAAGCCCCATTAGAGAAGACCCTAACAAGATCTTGGATATGAAATAGACGAGGGGTGCTCCACTCAACATCTCAATGTAAATAAAAAGATCCAGACATAGCCAAAGCCGGTCTTAGCAGTCCTTTAGATTCAATCAAGCCGTCCTCCACAAGTCAAAAAACATCTGTATAAGAATGATAAAAGACCTACATACTTCGAATCACCCGTTTCCCCAATGTCATTAACAACAAAGACCACATGCAACGGTATTGCACAAGGGTCCAGAATAGAGCTCTTCGCGTCATAGCGGGGTACCGAGGAGAGAGACAAGAGTTTAAAATGGCAGATTTACACGTACAACTAGATATTACGCCCTTAAATGTAACGCCTCGATCACCCTGAAAGAAGAAACAACTCTATGCAATGCAGAACTCTACATGCGCAGAGTAGAGAACATGCCTCAGAACAAATTGAAAATACCAGCACGGATTAATTCATCATACTCCGTCCTCAAGGACTCAAGAAGAATGTACTCTCCCACAGAGGGTCCGTCGTTTTTATCCATAAAGATAATTACCATCGACCCGACTGATACTGACAACCTCCTTGGCAGATGAAGATGATTGGGTAACACCAAACCCTTCTATGTTTACTAAGAAAATCGATCCCCCCAAATTAGGGAGATATCTTGTACAACAGTTCTAAACGAGGTTCAAATTATGCTACATTTACTATGGCGGACACCACGCTTGTAAGAAGCTGATTGTAAAAGTAAATTCTTTATGAACTGGCCAGGAAGTTATTGGCCTTCAATTGTTCGCTTAGCAATATCCGTTGTTCATCGCAAAAAAAAGGCAGTTGCAACTTGTACGTATTCCTACCAATTGCATGTACTTATATATCTGTTATATCTAAATGTACTCTGGATGGGTTTAGTACTTATTAACCCCTTCAAGAATATTTTAGTATATTCCACATACACTTTTAAATTACACCAAAGTGGTGTTGGGCCACTTTACCCTTTATATCCTACCATCTCTCCCACCTCTCTGCATCCTTTTCCCATATTTCTATCCTTACCCATCCTCTCTTCTTGGAAACCCATCTTACCAAAGCTCTGGTCAAGAAGTGAAGTGTGAAGTGATGTATGTACGTCACAAATTACTGTAAATTGCAATGTCGTGTGCCCTTAGGCTTCATTAAACAGATCATTATTGGTATGTCAATTTCCTTACTAAATGTAGAGAGCTTTTAATACAGATTTAATAAAATTTAATGTACGCAATACAGAGATTTTAAGTGAAGAAATTGCTTAATGTGCCTAATTTTTACTAGACATGTCAGAAAAGGAATGCGCAGTCCAAAAGGTCTGTATCTCTCATTGTATATGAACTGAAATATGACTAATCAATATTTTAGGGGATTAAAAACATTCTTGATTGGCAATGTAGCAGTGAAACAGCCTTGAAGACACGCTGCGCAACTAGTGAAACGTCCGTATAAAAACTTGCTTTACAGCGTGTCTTTGTATTGTTGTCAGAAACATCAGTTAGATCAGCAGTTGTAGTCTTGCTGATCCCTCTTATGGTTGATAGGCTTTAAACCTAACAATTCGACCATCTGCCAGCTTAGTTTAAGCCAAAGCAAGCGGCTCCCAAGGTAGAACTTGGATGAGCTACGTTGAGGAAATACCACGTATGTGTAAGGAATACCGAGTACTCATAGTCCCGTGGAATGACTACACCTCACTAGGTTGAATCCCAAGTGAACGGAAACCTAGGGAAAAAAAAATTTTGTAAACTGATTTTACTTTTTCCTTAGCATTAAATAAGTACCTGGGGTCAGGGCCTATGAGAGAAAGGGTGGGGTAAGCCGGCACATTAATGACGATTTTTGCAGCAGAAATGCAACATTTATCATTAAGTACATAAAGCAAATTGTGGAAAACCAGAAGTGAAAGCTTTAGAACTGCTAAATATATTAACAGACTACAAACTTTGTGAGATATTTCCAAATGTTTTTGTTAGTTTGAGAATATTGTTGACAATTCCAGCTACAGTAGCGTCAGCAGAAAAAATTTTGCTCAACTCAACATATCCAAAACTTTTAAAGGTTAACTGTGTCCAACCCAACTTACTGGTTTAGTAAGACTGAGTATTGAATCAAACATTACCAGAGAAACTGATTTTGATAGTGTTATCATAAATTTTGCAGACAAAAAAGCCAGGAAAGCTCATTTCACTAAGCAGTCTAAGTAAATATTAAACTTTTAAGAATTTATTTTACTTTTAAAGAACATATTAAACGTTTAATAAATAAAAGTTTAGGCACTTGTATAGTTATAGGTCAACAAAAGTTTTCAAAATCTATGAAGTATATGTTATCTGGTCATTCTCCTGCTCAGAAAATAAAGCATTTATGAAACTTTACCAGTGGTTTTATTAAACTTGCAAATTCTCAATTTTGAGAGAATTGTTGTAGATTCGCCGGTATAAGCGCCCGGCCCAGGCGTTTTCCAAGAGGTGGCCCGGCCTTTTGAGAGAAGCTTCAGCCTCGTCCAAAACAGTCTTTTTCCACCTTGCAAAATTTCTCTTGAAAGCCCTGCCTGGGGTACCTGTTTACTGGTGTCATAGGGTAAAGTGGTGGTGGCAGTGCACCTTAGTGCTGGGATTTCCAAGTAAGTTAAGGTCGGGTACCTCGTCTTAACTTGTAAATTCAGTGGGGGAGGAAGTTACTATTGCATAACTAATTATGTACTTACAGTGGGTTGTCCTGGGTACAGAGTATGCTTGATTATTATTATTATAATCATAACTAAGCAATATTAACACCCCTCTGAAGGAGGGGTGTTAATGTTGCAGATTTATAACTGTAGTATAAGCACGCCTCTGGCAAGACAATGATGGAGTGAATGGTGAAAGTTTTTCTTTTTCGGGCCACCCTGCCGTGGTGGGAAACTGCCGACGTGTTAATTAATAATAACTAAGCACTGCAAGTATGCTTGAAAGACAATCGTGATGAACCTCGTGAATCGTAGCTACTTATACAGATAAAACACTAAGTTATCACAAAATGTTTTGTAAATTTAGACTGGATAAAGCAAATACAGTATCCTTCCCAAATTAAATAATACAGTTACAAGAATTACAACGGTACTATAACACCAATAAGTCTAAATAATAATTGTAATAAGATGTGAATTTAAATGAGCCACCGTGCCTGCTGGAGTTTAATTTTTTTTTTTTTACATTTTTTACAGGCTAAGAGCTGTTCAAGAAATGTCGAAATATTTTATTAACAGTGGTATATTACAAACCAAATTGGAAAAATACCCTGACTTTGCTCACTGTAAAAAAAACAGTATCACTTTTTATGTGTGACGTAATTCATGTTTGCATAAATAATTCATTACGATTGTGGCCATATATAAACACTAAATAGTTCATTACCACTGTAACTTGTGCAGCTATCAAAACTTTGCGACCTAGTCCCTGGACCTATTATGTACCTCTGTAATAATACAAAAATATGATATAAAGACTTTTTTAAAGGCTAAATGCATTGACAAAAATACAATAGAGAGTAGAACAACATAGATAACATCTCAGAGCTACATCTCGAATACTTCGTCCAGCTCCCCAGCAGTGGGCTGTGCGCCCAGAATACTGCATGCATTTTCCCTCTGGATCGCCGCACTTAGTCTCTGAAAGAGGATTTGGCCTGTAATCCTTGGTTTCTATGATGAGTTTTTCACCCAGCTCTTTGAGGAACTTTAAAGCACACTTGCCCCATGCTCCAAGGGTCTCCGACCCTAATGGGATGAAGTTATAGCAAGGGGGAAGGCCTTCATATTTGCGGGTCTTCTGGGTCTCCCTGTGGCTGGCAGCTCCACCCCCTTCAGCTACGAGTATGGCAAGTAGGTGTCTGCCAATGTGGCGGCACAGGTGTAGTCCCAGGCAATCTGCTTACCATCCGTCCAGGGTAGCATAGAGGCTCCATCAGGACGCTTTTGACATATATCTTTATTTCTACAAGTACATGTACAAGGTATACTGACCTAGCTGACATCAATGAAATACTAATATATAGAAAGCCACTTGTTGTGCAGAGCATTTCGGGGAAATTTTTTTTATATTTTATTGAAAAACGCAATACATAGTTATACATGTAGACAATGTAATCAATGAAACGTATCCATTATATATAACAAAAGAAAACTCCACATTCCCTACCGTAGCACTAAACTTATACATAAGAACTAAACTAAAGACAGCCCACAGCTTCATATACAGGTGGGTTTATTACATCCAAAATTGCAGCCATAAACACAATATGCAATATAACCCAAAAAATGTCACAGGTATTGACATTTTACATAAAACTGTATGTACGAAGACATTCTCAATTATTTCCCAAAAAATTTTTACACACTTATTATTGTTGTATATTAAACTTCATATCAATAAAAATACGTAACCCTCAAAAATTTTA